AAGATAATGATAAGGGGACCCAGGCTTTTCGGGTTTCCTAAAGCATGTAATTGACAACGGCACTTTTCAACTGTCACCAAGCCCTCCGAGGGAAGTGCGTTTCTCACATTTTGCTCCCCCAGCTTCGGTGCTTCAGTGCAAAAGCAGACAGAAAATGGATGAGGAGGCACATCTGTGCCCGATGAATGCTTAGTTTGGCTGCTTTTCTTGTCTGGCTGTCTTTTTAAAGTTTGGGACCACGAAAAACAGTTGACATCTTGACATCTCCAGCAGGTGGCTAAGCCGCTTGCTGGCTTGCCTTCTTTCCAAAGCCATCAGGGGTAGCCAAGGGCAGCTGATTGCATCTCTTTTCTGCACAAACAGCCTTCCTGTACAAACACAGTTCAATGCACGCACACACACACACAACTGCAGAGATTGGGCGAGGTTTTCTCCAACGTGGATTTGCAGACTGATCTGAACCTTCGTTCAGGCATGATTAGATGATTATTAATTATTAGATGATGATTAGGGGCCTGGTGGCTAAAACCTATGAAGAAGAATGGTTGTAGGAATTGGGTATGTCTAATCTAGTAAAGAAAGGAACGCAGTGGCTGAGTGCCTAAGATGCTGAGCTTGTCAATCGAAAGTTCGGTGGTTTGAATCCCTAGCACCACATAATGGAGTGAGCTCCCGTTACTTGTCCCAGCTTCTGCCAACCAAGCAGTTTGAAAAAATGCAAGTAGAAAAATGGGGATCACCTTTGGTGGGAAGGTAACAGCATTCTGTGCGCCTTCGACATTTAGTCATGCCGGCCACATGACCACAGAGACCTCTTTGGACAGAGCTGGCTCTTCGGCTTTGAAACGGAGATGAGCAATGCCCCCTAGAGTCGGGAACGACTAGCACATATGTGTAAGGGGAACTTTTACCTTTAATCTAGTGAAAAGAAGAGCTAGGGGTCACTTGATAGCAGTGTTCCAATATTTCAGGGGCTGCCACAAAGAAGAGGGAGTCAAGCTATTCTCCAAAGCACCTGAAGGCAAAATAAGAAGTAATGGGTAGAAACTAATCAAGGAGAGGAGCAACCTAGAACCAAGGAGAAATTTCCTGACAGTGGAACCATTTGCCTTCAGAAGTTCAGGGTTGTCAAATTCGCGACCTGCAAACCAGATGTGTCACATGACACCAGTGTGATGCTGTACATTTGACACCCCTGTTCCAGATGCTCCATTACTGGAGGCTTTTAAGAAGAGACCGGACAGCTGGAATGATATGCTTGAGCCGTGGGTTGGACTAGAACAGAGGGTCACCAAACCTTCGGACCTCAGGGACCTCTAAATTCATAATTTTAAATCCTGCGGACCACTAATATGACTATTTTTTAAAAAAAAGATAAACAGTATTTAGTGCAATGTAAAAAAATGCAAATAATTTTTCTGCAGAGCACCATAATTTTCTCACGGGCCACCAGTGTCCCTAGACCACCAGTTGGTGACCGCTGGACTAGAAGACCTCTGAGGTCTCTGCCAACTCTGTTCTTCTGTTCATACAGTTCTTGGCCACAATATGCAGCTTTCGTCCCACTTCCGGGTCCAACCATGCCTCCCATCCAAGGACTAACAAACCCGGCTGAATATTTTTCCAAGTTCATAAACCTCCCGCTGAAGGATGCCCCTATCTTTTTAGTCAGTTGGACATCATTTTGAGCCATCGCAACAGTTGTCATTAATGAATGAATGAAATGATTCATCCAATGGAGTCTTCACCCTTGCCTAACCTACACCCTTGCCCTAGCCTTAATTTATTTTTGGAAAAACTCCCCATGGCTCCAGAGAGTTATTGCCCGCTGTCTAGAAAAATGTGTATTGGCCTGGAAATCCTGCCCTACAACACGAAGCAGCAGGAGAAATTCACTAATTGGAAATCAGGATTCCTAACCCAATTTCAAAGGCTTCCCCATCAGTTTTAGGCTGAAATCCTCAGCAGTTGCTCACGTTTTTCCTCCTGCAGCNCCCAACAGGCAACCCAGAAGTCTGTTCCTGAACTTCCGGGTTGTATGTTAGGCCGTTTTTCGCCCTCTGATGGCTTCAGGAGGCTTCCTTGAATTCTCTGGAGGGAGAAAAACAGCCCATCGTGCACGTCGGAAAATGGGACATTTTTGGCCTCCGGAGGGCTTCCAGGGGAGGCTATTTTCATCCTCTCCAGGCTCCTAGAAAGCCTTTGGAGCCTGGGAAGGGCGAAAAATGGACCCAGTGGTCCCACCAGAAGTCAGAAAATAGGCCATTTCCGGCCTCCAGGGTACCTCCAAGTGGGTAGGAGAGGCTGTTTTCATCTTCCCCAGGCTCCAAGAAAGCTATGTGCCCATGTGGTACTTGTTGAGAAAACTCCAATTTTTTTTTTTCTGATGAACAGAATAACAGAATTAGAAGGGACCTTGGAGGTCTTCTCCAGCCTCCTGCTCAAGCAAATGATTGGACAATGGTTGTCCATTCTTAAAAAAAAAACCTTGATCTTTGCTCACTCAACAAACTGAACTGGTCTGGGCTTGCTGTATTTGGATTTATGCCCTGTGAGAACTTGGCCAATTCGGACTGATTCCGTAGATCGTAATTATACAAACCATGGGATAACAACTTGAGTTGCGGGATCGTCTCATTTTTCTGCAGGAGAACCCCCTCCACTGCAGGCCTTGGAGTTGAGCTGTGGCTCTGGAACTGGACAAGTGACCCTCAACCCCAGTGAGACGTTGGAGCTGAGTTGCGGTCTATTTCCTGAGGTCAACCCTTTGAGGTAGGTCCAATCAAGAAAAAGACACCACCAGGATTCCAGGAATCCTGCTTTATTGTTTTAGGGCAGTGTTTCTCAACCTTGGCGACCTGAAGACCTGTGGACTTCAACTCCCAGAATTCCCCATGCATGGCTGGAGAATTCTGGGAGTCGAAGTCCACAGGTCTTCAGGTCATCAAGGCTATAGAACGTATAGAATAACAGAGTTGGAAGGGACTTTGGAGGTCTTCTAGTCCAACTCCCTGCTTAGGCAGGAAATCCTATACCATTTCAAACAAATGGCTATCCANAGTATCTTGGTCACATTTCGACGAGGTCACACTCGTCATTTTCAGGCTGGTGCCTTTGGCTTCGTGCTTGTGCAAGCAAAGCGTGATCAGAGCTGCCATTTTTCTATAAATATAGGTTTGTGTGTGGAATGTTGGCTTTGCTGCTTTAAATGGATTGGTTGGCTGTGTTGTCACATCTTGATTGGTTGATGGAATTGATGTTTGGTGTGGGTGGTGGCTCAGTGGCTAAGATGCTGAGCATGTCGATCAGAAAGGTCGGCAGTTCGGTGGTTCGAATCCCTAGCGCTGTGTAATGGAGTGAGCTCCCATTACCTGTCCCAGCTCCTGCCAATCTAGGAGTTCGAAAGGACGTAAAAATGCAAGTAGAAAAATAGAGACCACCTTTGGTGGGAAGGTAACAGCATTCTGTGCACCTTTGGCATTGAGTCATGCCAGCCACATGACCTCGGAGACGTCTTCAGACAGCGCTGGCTCTTTGGCTTTGAAACGGAGATGAGCACCGCCCCCTAGAATTGGGAACGACTAGCACATATGTGCGAGGGGAACCTTTACCTTTTACTGTTGCTTTTGGGACCTTTCAGAGATCTTTATAGGATCTTGGAGTATAGAATAAAAAAATCAGAGACTCTGCCTAATCTAGCAGCAATCCTCAAAGCTAAACTGCCTTCTCTCCTTTATAAAGCTCTTCTTTGAATACTGGGGAGGAAATTGGATGTTAGACAAGGCGGGATGAGTTTGAATCTGTAACTCTTGAGGAGATGGAAGGTTCTGTTCATAGGTCAGCTGGTTATTAAGAACCATGCCTTTTCTGGCTTAGGAAGGCCACTTGGGAGATGACAGATAGTATGGTCTAGGTTAGGGGTCACCAACCTTTCGGACCTCAGGGACCACTAAATTCATAATTTTAAATCCCGTGGACCACTAATATGAATTAGTGATGGGAGGGGGTCCTTCAGGCACTTAGCTTGGCCACCTATTAGCAGAGAGAAGTGCCCAGTGTCAACCCTAGGTTTGCTGTCCATTGCAGCTAGGAATCTCAGATACAACAAAGAATGAATATTTGTCTTGTAGCCAGCCCGGGCACTAGACCGGCCCCCTGCAAACTCTGTCTTTTGAGCAGCCCGGCTGAAGTTTTGCTCACCACTCACTGAAGTGCTTGGACTCCCNTGCTGTGGCCTGTTGGCTACCAGCCCCTCCAGCAGTCAAATCAGAGGAGGAGGCGTAGGAGTCTGGGTCAGCATCAAGGCAACCTGGGAGCTCCGAGGGGGAGGAGGGAATGGAGCTGGCAGAGAGAGAGAGAGACAGAGGTGGAGCCTGGGCTGCCTGTCAGCCCTCAGATGGAGAGTTAACAGCCCCCAGGTCTGCAGGTGGCTGATGAGGAAGAGGAGGAACAGCTGAGTCCAGTGCCTGACGCTCGGATGCAAAGAAGACGAAGGAGAGGAGAGCAGTGGAAATCTATGGGCCGGTCCTTGGGACCGAAAAGCCACTGCTGCTAGCTAGGCCCCACCCTAGCTCTGGGGATAAAAGGCAGGGAGTGGAGATGAATAGATGTGGCAGACAACTATTCATCTTCCTGCCGAACGGACTTGTTAGCCTGCGTTGAGAGAGAAACGTTTTACTGGGGCTGCTGGCTAAAGGAATCTTTGAGTTAACTTCAGAGGGTTTGTTGTGTTTGAGGAGCTGGGTCAGGACAACTGGATCTCTGTCTATTTAGTGATCAATATCTGGGCGTTTGACAACTGATGTGTATTTATCACAGTTTGCAGTTGTCCCAAGGTTGTGTCATCACCATTTGTGACCTTCCCAGCTGGCATCTGACAAGCAAAGTCAATGAGCAAAGCCCGATTTGCTTAATGACCACAGGATTCACTGAACAACTGCAGCGATTCACTTAACCACCCTGGCAAAAGGTCATAAAATGGGTGCATGACTCGTTTAACAATGGCCTCACCTAGCAACAGAGCTTCTGGCCTCAATTGTGGTTGTAAGTCAAGGACTACCTGCATAGGAAGTAACACAACCGTTTCAATAAATCCTGATCGCATTTCATTCTAATTGTCCATACATAATTTATCTAAGAAACTTATTCCTAAAGCAAATTGTATTAATCTCTCTCCATTAGCAAACCTTGTTTGACAGGTTAAATAGCCAGACAAGGAAGCAAAACCGGGTCTGAAATTCGATATTCCCTCTGCTTGTTTTAAAGTACAAAAAATAGTTTCTTGTTGTGCAAGGAAATGTGCAGAGTAAAAGCAAATCTCCTGAGTGGAATTTTTGTTTTATTTTCATGATCTGCATAAAAGAAAAACTGTACCCAATTTACAGAGATTGTGCCATCCAAGCAAGAACCTCATAAGGAATTCATTTTTTTCCTCTCTTCTTAAAGTAGTATTATGATTATGGATTGATCTATTCGTCAATAGACATCAAAATGCAAAATATAAGACAACAGAAAAACCCTATGCGGCAAGAAGAGTAAAAGGCAGAACTACAAGGAAATATTTTCGTATCACTCCTATCATTTATCCCAAGCAGACCCAGTTCTCAATTGCTCTGTCTTATACAGAGAAAAGGCAATTTTTAATGTAATAGTTGGGTTCTGACCACTTCCAAAACAAGTTGTTTTAATAAGAATCCCACTTCAATTTGAAGTCATCCCCAAGATTAACCCTATTTTTTTTTAAAAAAATAGTTTTAATATTAATATTTTGATGCTTTTTATTTAATTTTCCTTGAATAAACTAAATATTCTTCAAAAAACCAAACAAACCCAAAGCAATTATCAATAGTAGGTCAACTCTGTCTAAAGCCGGATTGTTCTTCTGTTTGTAACTCATGTCTCCTTCCCTCCCTCGCTCCCTCCCTCCCTCTTTCTTTCTTTCTTTCTTTTTTTTCTTTTTCTTTCATCTTTCTCTGATCTCCTGTCAACGGTTATCCCCCACATCTCCTACCACAGCCTTACCTCCATTTTTCCAACATCCAGAACCCCAATCTGTGCCAGAAAATGGCATGGCTCGTTTTGAGTGTCGGATCAAAGGTTTGCCTGCTCCGGTCATTGCTTGGCAGAAGGACACGGAGGCTGTGCCATCAGAACCAAGGTAAAGTATGCAGTGTGCTCATCCCTTGCATCAAACACAACCGAGTTAGTTGAGTTGGAGCTGCTAAGTCTCACTGGTTGTGGCTTGCAAGCTGTGAGGTGTGCCTAAGCTTGATGCCTGTTGTGTCAACTGACAGGTTTATCTCTGGATTGTCAGAATGGTCCAATCTGTCTATCTATGACCAGCTCTAAGAGAGTCTTACAAGAGTGTAGAACACAGAACAAGGAGTCTTGGTGACACAGTGGTTAGAATGCAATATCACAGGCTAACTCTGCCCACTGCCAGGAGTCCAATCCTAACTGGCTCAAGGTTGACTAAGACTTCTGAGGTTGGTAAAATGAGGACCCAGATTGTTGGGGGGGCAAGATGCTGACTCTGTAAACGGTTTAGGGAGGGCTGAAAAAGCACTATGAAGCGATATATGTCTAAGTGCTATTCCTCCCTCCCTTCTTCCCAGTGGTTAGAATGCAGTATTGCAGGCTAACTCTGCCCACTGCCAGGAGTTCGACCCCAGTCAAATGTCCCAAAGGTGCTTTTCCGAGAGGCAACTGGACTTTTGGGGTTTTATTTGAAGACGTTTTGCTTCTTATCCAAGAAGCTTCTTCAGCTCTGACTGGAAACGGAAGTTCTAATTTAGCCTAATGATTCTAATTTAGCCTCCGGATCTTTTATCATCTTTGCTGCTGCTCTTCTTTGCACACTTGCTCAGATTTTGATGTGATCCAGGGTAGGAATTGATCTTTCCTCTTCATCCTTGGGTTCATAGGTTCATAGTCCTTCCAAATGGTGTCCTTCAGATCACGGATGTCCAGGAAGGAGATGCTGGAGCCTACCGTTGCATGGCGACCAATGCAGCAGGAAAACGCTACAGCCTGCATGCTCCTCTCACTCTCTTGAAAGGTACATGCCACAAATTTGGGCAGGGGTGAGGGATGAATTACGACAGGCTATCTCTAAAGTTTCTCTCTTTCCTGTCTCAGATGCTTCCATCTGTTGCATGGATATAACGATCCTGGCAAAAGAATTTGCAAGGGTTTTCGAGATAGCTCACTGGTCAGATAATTGAAAGCAAGGGTGTCAAACTCGATTTCATTGAGGGCTGCATCAGGCTTGTATTTGACTTCAGGATGGGGGGCATGGTGTTTATGGCCTGGGTGGGTGTGACCAGCTTGACATCACTTGTGTCAGGGGCGCCTGTGATGGCCCACACACTCTGCTAGCGAAAATGAGTTCCTAAGCTTTGTTTTCGGCTGCGGCAGCTTCCTGCAACCCTCTGCCAGTGAAAATGCAGAATCCACTGCACTGCAGGGTGGTCCTTTGCTGTTTCCAGGCCGGTACCTTGGGCCAGATCTAACCACCCCGCGGGCCACATCCAGCCCCTGGGACTTGAGTTTGACACCCCTGTTCTAAAGCAAGAGTGAAGAGCTAGCAGAGCTGGCAGCAGATTCAGACAGTGAGGAGGTTGGGGAGGAACATGGGCCAGTCCTGGAGTCTGGGGAAGGCTCTGTTGGGGGCTCGGTGTCAGAGGCAGAGAGGGGGCCAGAGCTGTATGCCAATTATCAGCTGCCTTTGGAGTCAGACATCAGTGAGGCAGAAGAACAGCTGGAGTCTGTTCCCAGTGTGCGTATGTGCACAGTTGCCAGACGAAGGGAACAGCTAAAGAACAAGGATCACCTTGGGAGCAAGGCCACAGGTGAACAATGAATGGCCTCTCCCAGAGGAAATAAAAGAGGAGCAAAAAGGGAGTGGAGTTTGCAGGAGGCAATTAGTTTGCTTAATTTGTTTGTGGCTCTCCGATCCTTGCCAGTTTTGCAGATATCAGCCTGGCAGCTCTCCAAACCAGAGAAGGTCTGTGACTGTAAATCCTCTCTTGAAAGACTTTGTTGGATGTGAATGAGCAGAATTCACAGTCAATTAATAAAAGTGGGGTTTTTGTCGGGACCAGGAGTTTGCTTCATGCTCTTGGGAAGCCTCGGTCAGAACAAGATGCCAAAACCAAGATTTGGGTATAGGTAGCCCTTGACCTACAAATTGTTTTTTAATAACTGTTCAGATTTATGACAGACTTAAGCTACTTACAACTCATCCTCAAAATTAAGGCTT